CTGAGGATCGACGTGTAATAGCAGGAAAACTGTTGCACATGTGCCCGTTTGTATTTATGTCAATAAGTGGTGGAGAATTAAATGTTGAGATACTTTGACTGATGCTCGATTATCCTTTCTTTGATAATAATATGAATCTATAATAATAATAACAAAAATGACCATTATCACCCACAATACAACTTCAGTGGGGTGTGACGTGTTGTATAGTATTGTTTATTACCATATATACAAATTAAATGTATGTGTATGTGTAGGGTGTGGTCAGAATATATTAACATATATACGTAAATCACATCGATAAGATATACAAATGATAAAATCACTAATATAATTTATATATTAAATATGCACATAAAGTTTGCACAAACAACAAGCCTCTGAATATGTATCTGTGACTTTAACAGTCATCTCTGTAGGGGGATTATAAAAAGTACTAATCTGGAGTAATACCTCAGAAATTACTGGTGAATAATTGAAAGTGTGGATCTTAAAACTTTGAAACTTCCTCATAAGTCAACACGTGTCAGACTTCAGATTTCACTTCGCTCTTGTTGTACTAATACCCTGCTCATCAGGAATCTTCGTTAAGACCTGAATATCTAATTACACATGTCTAAAACTTGAATCATTTTTTTAATTCACAAACCACTGTCATCAGGGTATTGTTAATCTTTTTAACAAGTGTGAAGCTCCACAGAGAATATCCTAAAGCTGATTTATGTTCTCTCTACTTGTTGTAGCCAATTAAATCTGAGCTGGTGATTTAATCTAACAAACAGAGGATGTCCTGATAAGTAACCTGTGACCTGGCAGGTATTTATACTGTATATTCTTATACCAACGTGTGTCGACCTCTAACTGCAGCCTCTCAAAGCCTCGGGCCTCACATTCAGATTCACTGAGCGTTATGAGCAGTAATTACCAGCAAATCCACAGAGAAACAGCTGGGATACATTTGACTGACCCCATTAGGACACAGGCTGCTATTGAAAAGCTTTCTGCACATAAGAGCCACAAATAGACGGTGGAGTCTCTCTGTTCGTTAATTAAAAACACGTTGGACGAGTAGTTTTGTTTGGTGCAGCCACAGAAATAAACACATGTGGTGTCTGATATTTGTCCTTAAACACAAACCCAGGTTATATCACTGGAACACGTTCATCTGAGGATTTATCTGCACGAGGAGCTCGGCTACATCATTCCAGCCACTCGAGCGTCCACACATATAACGTCCCATACATAAAACATTAAATGCATTTTTGAAAATGTTAAGCCCCCAGTAATTTGTGCGACACCGTGATAATGAAAGATAAAGAGCCGGATGGCCATCAGTCAGCGCAGGATATAAAAACGTGACAGGAAATTTAGTTTAATTCTCTTTCCCTCTGCAGCCAGACTTCAAATAAACTTTTATGCATTAATTATATAACCGTGAAAGATGGTTATTAGGATCTGACGGCAGGTCTGTGCAAGTCAGGGATCTCCACTGTTTGAAGCTGAAACGCTTCACAGGAGAAAAGTGTGAGTGCAGATTTAGATTTTGTTCTGAGACACAGAAAGAACAGCTGGAGGTTGGTGTTTTTGATAAATATGTATATTTAATCTGGGATAACATGCACTTGTGTCCTCTAATGTATGCACTACTGTATTTGTATTTTCTATATTGACGTCTTTTACTTTGTACCCCAGCTAATGACCAATGTCAACAATGATTGGCCCCAGCCCTCTGTGACCCTCAATGGTAGAGGCATAGATCATGGATGGATGATAGATATATTAATGAATGGATGGATAGATGGATGGAGAGATTAATGAATGGATGGATGGATGGATAGATAGATTAATGAATGGATGGATGGATGGATGGATGGATGGAGAGATTGATGAATGGATGGATGGATGGATGGATAGATAGATTAATGAATGGATGGATTACGAATGGATGGATGTATAGATAGATCAATGAATGGATGGATGGATGGAAGGATGGATGGATGGGGTCAGAGTCTCAAAAGGTCTCATTTTTACCTCCACCATGGAGGTCATGTGTTCACCTCTGTCTGTTTGTGAACAAGTTTATACAAAAATAACTCAACAGATTATCACGAACATGAGTGAAACGAAGTCGTGTGTCAGGAAAGAACTCATTTAAATCTGGTGCCAATTCAGTCATTTCTTGTAACTTTTAACACTGAGAGTAGAGATCAGAGCCGTTTTCAACATTTTCACAGGGAATAATTTATGGATCTCGATGGAAACATCATCGAGTATGAAATGACTGAATGTAAGGGACCGTTGGACGTCTTTTTCCCACTGTGTCCAGACAAGGTCTAAATATGAGCTGCTCCCGTCAGTGGAAACAAACTGAAGATAGCACAAGGACACAAAATGAGCAACAACAAAGATTTTTCTAAAAAATATCAAATTTAATTTGGTTATAAAAGTCGTTGGCTATTTTTTTCACATGCACACCCACACATAATTAATCACCATAAATACTGTCCAATGATTTCTCTTTTTCTTTTTTCTTTTCCATATTTTAAACTTTGATTCACAAAGCAAGCACATACGGTGGACCGATACATCTGATTTCAAAAGGACACTATGGAGAGAACGCTTGCAGTCTTTCACAAGGAGAGGAGATCTCAGTGCACTGAAAAAAAGTCTGCCGTAAAATCAAGTAGAAACATTTAGAAATTACCTACAAATGGATCTGAGTACAAAAAGAGCTACAGTGTTTTCGACACTACACCCAGTCACATGTGAACGATCGGGTTTTGGGACATTATGTTGTTTCACCTGTATGAAAGACGGAATGAGAAACTATACAGAAACAGCTTTCGAACAAAAGAATGGGTGTAAACTTATTATCGGTGGAACTTTACCTTCATTGCATTTCATCAATTCATATAATATCAATAAATAATTACACAAAATCAACTCGTGTCTGACTCAGTGCAACATGACATAAAGGAAAACTAGAGATGGACAGGATGGACATTTAAAACTAAACATGGATCCTTTAAAATCATCAGTTATCCCTCCAATCAGTAATCGATTACTTTCCGTCACCAGCACAGAACACACAGTGCTGGATCAGAATGTGGACTCTTCGTCTCAGTTTGTATTTTAAACACTAGTCCCGTTATCTTTCACAATGAACACACACAACCGCCGTGTCCTTAAAAGCCAGAGAGGTAAGTAAGTTGTGTTTTGGCTACTTGAAAAATACATTAGAATTTTGTGCTGCATGTGACTGATCAGTGACGTTCAGATTTAATTTTTCATTATTGTATTTTGAATAACATCCGTAAATGTGCAAATATAACATAAAAATATGACACTTTTGGTCAGACTGGGGTTTTCTAGAGGACATATGTTTGGCTCTCTAAGCTGCAGGTTGTCGATTGTAACTGTTGCAGAATAGAAAAAGATTGAGATTCTAAGTGAAAGTTGCTCATTCATGTTAAATGTAAGAATTAATAAAGTTTATTAACTAAACAGGAACTAAAGTTTTTTGAAGATTTAAATAAAGAAGTGAAATGCTGGAAGTCAATGCGTCTTCATTTAGATTCAGGTTGTGTATTTTCACTGCAGACACTGATCGTAAATTACAGGAGAAACTGATTTAACAGACAGGGGATGTGAGGGTATCACATCGTTTCTGCTGATCCGACCACATTTGCTGCTGCAAATCTTTTTGACATTATGGAAATATAAGAGTTTGTTTTTTTTAAACTGGATGTATAAAACATTCCGTGAGGCGACAAACTAATCTAAAGAGAGTCTGCAGACTTTCAGCAAATCATCATTAAATCATCTAAAGTCATGGGAATAAAGTAGAGATCGTGTCGTGGATGAATCTGTAACATGTTGAATAAGTATGATATAGACCTTATGTACTTCAGTCATGTACAGGATGAATGTTAAACACGTTTCTCTCCAAAGAGCTTCAGAGCTTGAGGATTTGATTTGTGGTTTTCTGTGAGGCTTTAACGTCGGCCCTCTGAATCAACGACACAACTCAACAGTGCACAGGCGATGGAGGCAGCAGCACATCACTACATCACAGGACCAGTAACTACATGGTCTCTCCCTCAGGGAACATAAAAAAAACAAGTGAACAAGAAACATGAGGGGTGCGAAACATGAAGGCGTCACACACACACACACACACACACACACACGCACACACACACTCACACACGTCGTCAGACAAAAACACCCACCTTTGTGCAATAGGAAGACAGACACACAATTTTGTCTTGAACTAGGCGTTTCATGACAGTTTGACAGCGAACACGTCTTAATTATTTCATCATCGGAAAAAAAAAAAAAGACAAAGCACAAGCGACCCATCGTAAAACAACTCCAAAAAAGTGGCGGGAATCGGCCTTGTGATCAGACGAGGGATGTCACATTGTTTTCATAAAGGCCACTGACACAGCTGAGCTCGCCTGGTGGTTCTGACGTTAATGCCCTGTTGCCGTTCAACTTCTTTTTCCTCCTTCAATCCCTCTCATCGCAGAAAACTTCTCTCTGCTGCATCATAAGTGGAAATCTTCCTCCCTCCACACACATGCTACCACCTCTCTGTGATATTGCACTGAATAAAGCCTTTTTAGAGTTTAGCAGCCAGCATTGCTTCACAGAATGCCTCAGGAACAGTGTAGTCTATACGAGGAGCACGGTGCCTTGTGGTGACGCGAATACTCCAGGAAAATGTTCTTCTTTTTAAAGTTTTGGCTGAGAAAAGCTCGTCGGAAACGTCGGAGTGACCCCGCGCTTTGTTTTCACAGCTACCCTGCTTGAAATAAATATAGTTTCTTTGACTAATGGTGAAGAAAAGAGAGAAATACATGTCATGAAAATCCTAGTTTTTTTGTTTTTTCTTCTGGATTTTAAAATACATCACAGTAATATGTTGTGTCTGCAGGTGACCCCCTCTCTTTGATTTTGGCACTGCACTGTACATCATTTAGTTGATCAACATGAATAATTGTATCACTGGTTATATTTGAATAAACAGACTCAGTGTGCATCCTCTCTGTTGATTGTATGGATGCATGATACAGAGCCTGGCCTGTGCACATATTCTACATATATGCTTTGTTTTTTTATTTCACAGGGGAGAGTCTCTTCAGCAGTTTCTTCCCCTTGGAAAGTAGTCCTTTCTTCTTCTTGTTGGCCATGTCTTGAGGGTCCCGGGGGTCCAGTGGGACGTGGGGGCCCCTCATGGGGCTGAGGGGCCTCATGGTGCCCGGCAGGAGAGGGCGGACGATGGGGGACGGCGCTCGGACGGGCGTGGCGCCGTTGTTGTTGGCCGTGTCGGAGGTTTCTGTGGTGACCTGGGGAGAGAGGCGATGGGGGAGGTGTGGAGGCAGGGGGCAGCGTATTACAAAAGAACGGACACAGACACACGGTCAGTCTGTGGTGAAGATGTGATGTTCAATCACTGAATCAAATTCTAGAAATAATTTGTGGGAAAACATTTTGAATCACTAAAGAATTAATATTTGTCAAAGTTCAAGCAGATTCAGTTTGAGAGCTGATTCTAGGGATGAATCAGATCCACAGTATAATGTTAAACTACTAATAACACATTTTAAACAGTTATTTGAATAACTAGGAATAATAGACCTGTTCATTTGACAGAAGAGATATACATCATGTTCACACACACACACACACACACACACAGTACAGGTATGCAGAGGGAACAGCGAGCAGGAAGCAATTAAATGCAGTTAGCACACCACAGAGCTGGAGAGGTCCACCATCAGGAACATACAGTACGATCATATACAGAACAACACCCAGGGACGCAACTGTAGATACCAGGCTTCTCATCTAATGCAGCAGCACGATGCACCTCTCTGCGTTTCACCACTTTAATGAAGATTATTGTGACGTCTGCCAAGGAGTGCATTGTTTGTTTGTTAACAGGGTAACGCAAAACCACTAATACCATAACACTTAGTGGGATGTGTTGTGTTAGTCGAGAAAGGTCCCATTGAATTTTGGTGTGGATTCAGAACAGGGATGTTTTTCTTTCTCTAACATTGTGAGGTGTTTTTGAACATTTTCATTTAATTTGCATCGTATTTAAAAAAATCAGGGATGTTAAGGAGGCTGATATCTAGAAGTGTGTGTCTGAAGTTGGTGCAGATCCAAATGAAAGTCCAGATTTAGTGAATTGAAAAGTCACGAGGCGGAGGTGTGAACTCTACACCCTTCTAGTTTGTATCATGATATCATGAGGTCTGAGTATGGATCACTCAGAGTTTGGTCCAAATGATCAATATGTCATAAATATTAAACCTTTCAAAGTTTAATTGATTCTGTTCAGAGATGTGATTAAATTAAACATTTTGTTCCATCTCAATTAAATGAGATTAAATGATGTACCTGATCAAACACACGAGGTAAATAACTTCCTGATTTCTGTTATCAGGAAGCAAAGCACTGAGGAAGTGTTTCCATTACAGCAGCGTTTAAAAGCCTTTCCTGTGACCGGCTGTGTGCATTAGAGCCGCGAATTTGGTATCTCAAGTTGCCGACTTACTGTACGAGGCAGACAGAGCCGTTTATGGTGTGAAATGAATAATCTTCTTCTGTTTGTTTTGTTTTGTTTGGCCAAGCGGGTGAGGAAAAACAAAAAAACGAAATCAGACGTGGCAGCATCGTCACCGTCGGGTAAAAAAAAAACACCACTATGAAAACTGAAAACAACAACGACACCAACACACACGAACACAGAGCAGGAAAAAAAGAATGTTTTTAATATCCAATTTCTTCTTTTATTGTTTATTGTAACAATACAGTATGGACGTCTCAGTGCTGCGGTTAGTTCTGTCTCTTGAGCTCAGAGCAAACATGGCGTATCCACTGTCAACATGGCTGAAAAATAGATCTGATGTGTGTGCAATATACATAAAGAAACAAAGCCTCTTTAAGGAAATACAGCAGTCGAGCCAAGAAAGTTAATATAAAATGTATCAAGTTTGAAAAAGGCATGCTTTTCCTCTCTGGTTTAACTTTTCTTCTTCCGTGTCATTTGGTAGCAATTGTGTTAATAAAGCACTTTTTTTTTTATTATACACAATAACCACAATGTTTTTGTTTCAGTGCAAAGAGGAACCAAATTACGCTGTGTAAGGAATGAGCTGAGCCTTTTTCAAGTCCTCCTCCACCAGTGCTGCATGCATAAGTCACCCACAGAGCTCCCACAGTCTATCCTCTCTCTGTCCATTGTCAGGCTTTGCTTCTTCCTTTCTCTCAGAAAGGTGTCAACACGGGATTTTTGTCCCCTTTTCAAAAGGGTGAGAGGGGAGGAGGGCGGGGGAGTTGTTAGTTTGTACAGAGTCACCACTGTCACCACATGGACAAACACACACAATGAACAGCACACAGACGGCAAAGTGGAGGAAGCGAGAGACGGAAATCAAGAGAGAGGACGGAGGATGGATGAACACAGGGCCTAGCGCTGAGAGCGGCGATGATGATGTACCCGTTTGCCCTCTGGGATGGCGGCAGCAGAGTTGGCGGGCGGCCGGTTGGCAGGCTCTTCCTGGGGGTAGTGGGACGGAGTATCGGTCAGATACACCTCCACGTCATCAGGCACTTCTTCCAGGAAGTTAGAGGGAACCAGACCACGGTGGCCGTTCATCTCACCCTGTGGACGGAAACGAGAGGAGTGAGTCAGTTTCCATTTATACTGTAGATTTTCTCCTCTTCAATAATAAAATGATGATATAACCCACAAGAAAAGACCCGTTAGAAGAAGAATTAGACATTTTGTGACATATGCTCATTTGCTCTCTTGATGAGAACATGTGGAGTTAGCCGAGGCTGGAACAAACACTAGAAACAGGAGGCACAAACAAACAGCACCTGCTCCGTCTAAAGGGAAAAAATAGTTTGCCTGTCAACACCTCACAAGAACTAACTTGTTATATTTGTTATTGAAAGGGATTAAGCCTCCACTCGTCGTCTGTACAGTTCAGTTTTTGTACATATCATTGAGGTATTAAGTGTTTTAATAGAAGAAGAAGCAGACTGGAGAAGCAGCACTCACGTAATAGAACCCGTCTTCATCGATGTCGGCAAACACAGCGATGATGTCGCCAGCACAGAAGGTCAGCTCAGCCTATCAGGAGACAGAGAAACAAATATACAGATTTTAAGATTTCAATCATTCGTGTTTATCTATGATGCATTTTAAGCTGTTTAGAAAGGTAGCGTGGAATAATATATTTTACTTTATCTTTTGTGTCTTTGTTCGACCTAAATCAAGCAAAAAGGCAACATAGATTTACATTGTACACTTATTATTTACTATATTAATTATTCTGTCCAACAATGGCCACAGTTATACTTTAGGTCGATTACACTAGTTTGAAATAAAGTCCCAAAACAAACACGTAGCATAAATCACAACAGTTTTAGCGCCTTGAAAAGGTTTAGAAGAAACATCATGTTGGTGGCGTTAGTCTGTCTAGCGTTCAGCAGTGATACCTCGACATCAACATTAGGGGAGCTCTCTCGGGGGTCGTAGTCGTACAGAGCCACCATCCTCCTCGAGGCCTGATCTCGACGGAGGCCTCTCCTGTTCTGCTCTGGAAGTGGTAATAGACACAGTTTTAACCAGAGGTGTTTCGCGAACATTTAATTCTTCCATAACTGCATGTATGACTGTGTTATACCTATTCTGTCCACAGGGGTGCTGAGTGGCAGGAAACCCTGTTTGATGAGCTGGTCCATGGTTTCCTCGTCCTCCGCTCGTATCTCCGACACCATGTTACAGGGGATCAGCCCCATCCTGCCCCTCACTTCTCCTCTGTAGAACCCGTCTGTGTCTTTATCACCATACACCTGCAGAGAAAGAGCGATGTTTAGAGCTCCGGCTATAAACATGTACTGTACTTTTTTTCTAGCATCACATTTTTACTTAAATGGTATCAAACGTTTAGTAGTCTAGACACATCTTAAACTAATAAATGCACAGAGGAGGAGAGAATGATCCAGAATGGAGTAAGTGAAGGTGTCTGGTCATCTCAAATTCAAAACCCCCACCCGAATGATCTGCCCCTCTTTGAAGGGCAGCTCCTCATCAGCTGCGTCGGGATTAGGTGACATGGAGAGAGGATCGTAGTCAAAGAGGGCCACAAAGATCCGGAACGACTCCTCAGTCTCTGACTCGTCATAGTACGTGGGAGAGCGGCGATCTCTGTATCCATCTTTAAAACACGAAAGACAAAGAACAAATTAAAAAAAAAGAAGATCCTGCATCACCTGACAGGGCAGCCGACAAGAAACAGCTGCTTTGTAGGAGACTGATTTTTTTTATAGATTTTAGATTTTTGTCTCCTCTGAAATGAGCCTGTTTGTGCTGTGCAGCAGATTTCAGGGCTCAGCAGCAAAACTCAGGATCTATACCATGTGTATCTATAATAAATTACTATAATGCAGAAGTCTATAGGTTTACATAGTGGTGTAGCTTAGCCATGCTTCAATCAAAGGAAATCAAGGAGGAGGATTTTCCTCTTTTTAAATCTTACTGATTTGATCATGTAGTGTTGCATGACAGATTTGATTTCCTTGTCCAGTCATATATTTGTGCCTGTAAGCATGCAGGAAGAAATCTGTGCTCAGTCAGCTATTTAAATCATTTACTATCGCACATGCACCCGCCAACACACACTACATGTGCTCTATTCAAATGGTTTTCTCCATCTTTATGCTTGTATACGCAGTGAGGGACAAATGAGGAGCAAGACAAAAACATGGTGCAATGCAGAGAAGTGATTCAGGGACATGACAACATCAACAACACACAACACTAACATGCATACTACAACTTTCTATGTACTTTATATGAAAACATAACATTTAGCGAAAGTAGAATTATCTCTCCACACATTGCCAACCTGGCAGCAGATGTTAAGCAGAAATGGAAGAGGTGTTGTGGAAAATGTACCTGCTAGCAAAGTGTAATACTGTGGAGTTGATGATGATGTGAAAAGCATCACGTCTAAGTCAACCTACAGAACGTCTGGGAACTGGACTGTTGTTTTTACGTGTTGGTAGGACAACTGCATATCAGGCAGCTGCCGTTTCAAATGTCCAACAAACATCTAAAGAAACAAAAAGCAGTGACAGTGTAGTCATTCTTTAATGTCTACCTTCTCTTCAGGATTTCATGCACAGACGCTCCCGTGATAAGTGTGGTCGGTGTGTTTGTACCACTAAGGGAAGGGGTATATGGCAGGCATCAGTTCAGTGCAGTGAGTGATGCATTCACTGAGCAGTCCATCAATCATTAATCATCTGCAACTGTGGAAACATTCATCCTGGACCCCTGCTATGGATTGCCAGTGGGTCCACCATTTCAGTGCAGTGCAGTCATGCTGTTCGACTGGAAGCATAATAATCACTATTATTATTCGAGACAGAGAAACAGGCATCTTGCAAGTGTCCACAGCTACTGTTTGCCAGTTGCCAGTCGGTGGTGGCCTTTCTGTTGCCATGCTGTGGTGGTAAAATACAGGACTGCAGGCACATACCATGGGGAGACCTGGTGCCGCCCATGTGCCTGCGGGATGACCATGTCCTGTGGCGGGCTACTTTGCCATAGTAAACATCCTCGGTGATGGGGGAGAGGTTTCCCTCACTGTTATTCTCAGAGGTTACCTCTACGGGAAACACCAATTAAAGGGTGATGGGGTTACAACGCAAAGCACAACCTTCCCCTCCCAAAAGGTCAACTGAAGATTCATGTTGTCACCTCACAACTACAAATGCACACAGGAAAGCAACTGCACATCATTATATTCTCTACAACATCTAACTTATGTTCAGGTAGTGAAGGGCATGAGCATGGTTCATACACACAGAGGTGATCTGGAGACACAGAGAAGCTCATGAAGGCTTTAACAGAGAAACAAACACTACTGTAACTACGTCCCACACGCAACCACAATTATTTCAAAATCTTCCCTTCATTTCTCTCCACAGCCACCTTCCCATACTGACCAATGGAGGGGACCATTAGAGGTCGTCTCTGAGGTTGAGGACCGCCATGATGGTGAATTCTTCTCCCCGCCTCCCGGTTATGACTGCCCCCACCCGGGGTGTTTGTCTGAAATGCACATAAACACAGGAAACATTCACAAACATTAGATATTTCACAAGTTTGCTCACAGAGATGTGGACAAACTTGCAAAATAGTATGTGACCAAAAAAAAAACAACAACTCACATTTAATACAAATTGCATGTAAACAAAATCATGCAGCACTCACAGACAGGCACACTGGAACAAACAGACGTTTAGACACACACTCCAACGCGCACAAGCCCACAGGAAATGTTCACAATCTAAATCAAGCAAATACTAATGACATCGTTAAAATATATGTAAAAGCCCATACAGATGACAGAGTAACACTAAACTGTCAAACACAGCTTATCTGACATGCTGAGCACATTCAAACCCTGTGAATCACCTTTTCTCTCCATGATGCTGACAACTTCAATCACAATCTACTCAAACACAGACCATGGAAAGGATTTTCCAGACACCGCCACGACCTCTGGCTACCTCCGATCCAGGTCATAGTCTGCACCGCACACACAGGCTGCTACACAACTTGTATAATCTCAAAAAACTGTGTAGAGAAAGTTGCAACTGACAATAGAGGGGAACTCAAGAACGATGACATGATACAAAAGCAAGATGTGCCCACTAATGGTGGATAATCAAACTTTGACGATATTGCTCCAGTTTCTCCTCACTGGTGTGTTAATTCAAAATTCCAAATAAGCTTCTGTTTCTGTGTCTCCTCTGGTGTAGTTTCTGTGGTGAACCCACATCAGCTCCATCAACTCGGCAGCAAATAATCTCGTGAAAGGGATGGAGGCTGCACCTTTAAACCCAGTCAGTCTTTCTTTGTGGTTGTTCAAAACAAGTCTCTCTTTTCATGAAAGGGTCAGACTCGGTGTCTCTGCCTCGCTCGTCCGTGGGCTGACGCATTCAAACCCATTTTTTCTGCCCTCTTTCTCTTTTTATGTAACTCTGAATTAAACTCAGCACACACACTAACAACACATATCAAATGCAAAGTTGAGGCAGCAGACTCAGTTGAAGTATCTGTGCCCTTAGCGTTCACTAAAGAATAATTAATTTGGGTGGTTATGACTCTTGGGTAGGGCTGGGCAATTAATCTAAAATGTATAGAAAGCGACATTTGCTCATGTCGGTTTGTTCGGTTAATCCTTTCCCCAATGTGTGCATTCACGAACTGTTGGGTTTCTGCTATGTTCCGTGCTGACCTGCACTCACATTAAAATGAAAAACCAACACTAATCAGATGTTATTAGGAAACGTAGGCAACAGGACTTTGTTTGTTTGATTCTCTCTAAAGTTTAGGAAACACGTTTTTAAGCATATTGGAAAAAAAGTCCAACATTTTGCCTTCACGCAGTTCTAACACAACCCAAGACATAACGTGACGCGCAAAGCCAGGACTCCAGGGTTAAATTGACCCGAGCGATCCGGATTCAGGATCCGACATCATCAGTTAATAACGAAATATATGTGATCATCGAGTTTGTGTGAGGCGCAGCAGGGACGAGGAGACACGCAGGACTGCAGACAGGGGAGAAGTTCCTACCGGAAATTATGACGCAGTGTTTTAACTTCATTGTTGCAGAAGAAGCGACGCCCCGTTCATCCAGGAACATAAATATGAATCCAGCAGGTTTTTATCAGTTCTACGCGTGAGCGATTAGAAAAGAGCAGTGAAGCAGAGTCGCTTGTTGAGTGATGCACCCCATTGGGGGTGGGTGTTGTAAAAAAATCGTAATCGAGGTAAAAGTTTGAAGTAATCGTTATATTGATTTGAAGTCATATCGCCCAGCCCTACTCTTGGGTTTAGAATAAGTGCAAAGAACTGCACCTTGGGTGTGTTGTGCGAGTTGCGTCGACGTCCCTCTTCCAGCTGCATCTCAGAGTACAGCTCCTCCTCATCCTCTTCCATGATGTCAGACAGGTCAGAGCCCCGGCTGCTTTCGCTGTGATAATCTTCATTGTGACTATAGTTAGGCTTTTGGTAGGCACACACACATACACACACACACACACCCGCGCACACACACACAAACAAACAAACACACAGACACAATCGTTTAAATTCACATACATACATAACGTGCGTGCACACATCAAACATACATGGATGGGCAAACACACGCATGACTGCAGACATGGGCACAGGAGTGTGTGCATGCAACCACCCAAACACACATGCACACTCACATCCAAACATACACACACACTTAGGAGGTTTTCCATCGTAAAACACATATGAGGTGAAGCTGGGAAAAAGAGCAAAGGATCTGTCACTTATCGTGTTGATCTTACCGGCCTCCCCAGCTCAGAGCCCCTGAGAAACTCATCAACAGAGGGTCCTCTCCGACGGCCACGCGCAAACCCTTCCTCATCCTCCTCTTCCTCATCAGAGTGATGCTGGTAAAATGAATGACCCTGCTCTCCGTACCTGCCTGGCCTCCTGTCACCCTTAAATTTGACAAACCAGTGTGTGAGTAACAGACAGGGAAATAACAGTTGGTACATGGTTGTTGTGTTTTTGCAGTTTACAAATGATAACTTTATCTTGTTGTGTGTTTCTTCTTCTTCATTGCATGCATCATTAGGAATCAGGTATCTATATATAAATAGTATCTATACTATTGTGTGATTGGATTGATCATGTTCATTTCAGACCTTGCCACTTTCTGCTGCTACCCTCTGTGCCGCTTCCCGGGCGATGGCTTTGGCCACGGTGTCAGGGATGAGCGTGCCTCGGGGCTGCGGAAGAATCCTCTGAGGGGAGGGGGAGCGTGGATTGCCAGGGGGAGGGGCCTCGAGGGTGTGGCCTTGCATGGGCCCAGGAGGCTGGGAGGAAGGCGAGCGTGTGGGCTCCCAACCAGGCTGACCAGGTGGGATAGCTCCTCCATGGTGGGCAGCATGCTCTTTGGCATCCAGGTCTCTGGCACTTACTGGTCTCTGAGGTACAGGGTGGGGTTGGTGGTGGGGCAGCAGAGGCAGTTGGTGCTGGGGCCTGGGACCTTGGTGGGGTGGGCGAGGCTGAAGATGTAGGGGCTGCGGCTGAGGATGTGGGAGTCGGAGCTGGGGTTGCGGAGGTCCACCTGGATGAGGAAGTCTGGGATGGGGTTGAGGGTGTTGGGCATGAGGTGGGAGTGGTTGTCCGTGTGCCTGGGGTGGAGCAGGAAGTTGAGGCGCGGCGTGAGGGTGGTGAGGGGACTGGAGGTGGGGTTGAACATGGTGGTGGGGAGGGGGGCCTGCGTGGGGGTGCATTGGCGGTGGCAGGGGGATCGGAGGTAGAGGCACAAGCAGGTTGTTTGGAATGACGGCGACGTGTGAGTCCTGGGATTCTCCCTGTACTGACAGCGTCTTGACGATGACTTCCCTGGCCTCCAGGCACTGAATCCTTGTTAGCTCCACAGTGACATAGTCTGCCATTGGGAACAACACCTCAGCTATCTGGATTCAAAAAAAAAAAGTATATTAATATAGGTAGATACTTTTAGAGCCATCATGTGTGGATTCAACCTCCAAACAACAGAGAGAAGCCCAGAAGCAGCTGAGTGTTGATTCACGCTTTCAGGTGTCGTGTGTTCATTTACTTCAGCAGTCACCAGAGGGAGTGAGAGAACTTTCCAATACATTCACAGGTCCAACACTTAGAGACTTGCAGTGATATCAAATCACAAGTAGGTGGCACTGCCGTGTCCGTTGAAGGCAGGGATGGCTTAATGCTAAACTCAGTGACAGAGGCCGTTAGCGCCCCATCTGTGATGTATGTTCACATTTCTACTGGATTACACATAATTAACATGCAGTGTTTTACATACTGCATATGTGTACTGTATATAAGCTGTTGAAAAATTGCCCCATATGCTTTTGTACATATCCACAAACCTCTGAACTCTACATGATGCAGCTAAAAACGTCTCCAGTTTTCCCTCTCATCATGAGACAGGCCTTGAATCCAGCATCACTCATTATAGCTTCCTTTAACAGACTGAGCAACAATAAGGCGTAGTACTGGTTGCAAATACGCTTGCTAACTCACCCTCTGTCCTTTAGTGCACACTGCGTATCCGATGACATTTGCCCCATTCGACGTGCCTGTGGGAGAGAGGATGGGAGGCTTCCAGCAGACCTGCAGGACCCCCGGAGCCTGCCCACAGAGCACCCGGACATCATGGGGAGGCTGGGGAGGGCCTGGGAGGTGAGAGAGAGGTGTATGGAAAAACATTAATAATGTACTGTTTTAATATCACTAACATACAAACAAGAGCAGAGGGTGAGGGGCATTCATCAAATGCACAAATGGGCACTGTCACAACCATGCAGAGAGATGCCCACATACAAGAGAGGGATTTGGAGGATTCAGGATACAGCAAACTTGATGTCTTTCTAATTTGCCCTGAATGTTTCAATTTGTGAGAGAATGGCATTAACTTACTTTCTACTTTTCACGGATACACAATCCATGCAGATAAAATATGGAGACACTGCTAGTGGAAGTCAAGACACAGCGATGTGATTGTCAAATGTAATTCAAGTATATGATGATTTATTGTGGGTTTACTCTAACAAGACAATCATCTTAGTGTGTTGTCATTTTACAAAATATTTCCCCTTTAGTCCAGTGCTACACCATAACTACACACTGCAGTTTATTATAGGATAAAAATAAAGGTAAATGAAAAATGCAGGCTTCTCCACAGAGAAACACTGCTGTCTCAGCATGCAGGACACAATCCACAGAGATTAACTAAAGCCCAAATTTTGTCATCCACTCCGGGATCACTGGATAAAACATGCACTACTGCATTCAAGCAGAAGCAAATGCACACTGATACAAAATGGTCATTTCTGTGTGAGCAGTGGATGGGCACTGCTTTTTATATAACTGGTTCTTGTAGGCTAGGCCATAGGCTGAGGAAATGACTCACCGGTATAATAACTAATCATATCTTGTGATGCAGGGGCTATTCTCTAATTAGTGATGTGATCTCTGCAGTGAGTAAACTTAGAATTTGGAAAGGACACATTTGAGCTTGGTTTGTGAATGAAAAGCTTTTTTGATCTCAGAACCATAAAAAAATGCACATTCTCATAGCAATTTTTTAAAAACAGGCAAATATCTGTTTCTCTTCCAGAAGTATCATAGCACTAATATAATCTCAGCAGAAACAGATCTTTTAGTGCTAAGACGTATGGGAAACCCAGCCCAGCGTCGATGTTTCATTCTGACCTGTTCTGCAATATGGTGTTGGACCTGGACAAAATACAATACACAACAATAGCATGGTAAGGCAATACGTTCTTATACTCTATGATTGATATTAATATGGCATCATGTTACATATTAGAGCTGACATTACATTAAATTGATGTAAACAGAGCAGTAACTCATCTTCATCCGTCCCACACACACTCAGTACAACATTGTCTGAATGTAAAACACATGAATCACAATGTGTGCTGCAGCTATGTGTGTACGCTTCATACTGTGTCTGTATAGAGATGAGACTTGCTGACCTGCAGCCTGAGTGCAGAACTCCACACCAGCTTCTTTCCTCTCTCTCTGTTCCAGCGGCAGTTGCCATGGCACTTGGTGCGGCTGTGCCAACACCGTGACTTTGTACACCGTCAGGGGCTTCAGGTTGAGGAAGCGTAGTCTATACCTTCCTGGCTTTACCACCGCGTGCTCTGCCCCGTCCAAGAACACAGTGTGGCCATAGTTACTGTTGCTAGGCAACCAGGATAGCTCGGCAGTGTCACGCTGGATGTCATCCACCCGTAGACCACATGGCGCCACGACCACGTTGGCTCCCACCAGCAAGGTGCACCGCAGCTCATCTGACAAGCCCCGGTCAGTGGCGCACTGCACACACACCCGATGGACGCAACCGTCCAGGTCGAGCTTCTCCAGCAAACACTTGGTTCGGCCACCGTACTGTACACTGGCACGGAGTTCCCCGTCTACTAACACGTTGTAGCCAGAGATGTTCCCCCAGCCCAAAGGCACTAGTGGAGGCTCCCAGGCCACAATGACGCTCCGTGCCAGCTGCTTGATCAAAGTTATCTTTCGGGGATAAGGCACAACATCTTCAGCCAGGTCCTCCGGGTCAAATGGCCCCCCTGTCCCATTGCTACAGGGAACCAAGGCATTAGCTGAGCCCAGGAGGCCGTCCTGGGAGGCTCCTCCGTCTACTGCCATCAAGGCCAGGGGTCCAACATGGTCCAGTGGGCCCAGGTTTTCCCCTCCCTCTCCAGAGGGTTTTTCCTTGTCCTGGACAAACTCCACGAAGTTGGAGGGGACAAGTCCACGCTGGCCATCCAGCAGCTCCCCTGTGACACAGAAAATAAATTCAAAAACATGAGTTTATGACTTATTCTTCATGTTGAGGAATAAATGGCCTAAATCCCTGAACACAGCATCCATTAACAACCATCACTGGTATTAGTGCCTCTGTGAATCCTCCTACAAATATAAAAATACAAATACAAATATAATGCATCCTTTAAAGACAAAAGGAGAGCAGTAGCATGAAATACCGTCAGTGAGATATTGTCCTTGCAAAGTGAGAATGAGTCAGAGAGCCAGGGATATGAGATATGTAAATATACAATATGTAATATTCCCTAAGATGTACCACTCCTTCTCTGGTGCTTGTTTTATACTCTCTCCAGTAAACACGGAAGCGAGGAAATGCTTATAGAACTTGAACTCAGATTTTAAATATTTCCAGGAACACCCCTGAGCATGTAGATGCTGCAGGAAAAAACTGGCTCTGCAGTTTTTCCCACAGGGGAGAATATTGCCTTTAAAAAAACCTCTCGATCATCTTGTCCTTCAATCCCTTTTCCCACAGAGGCCTGTGAGGCCTGAAGATGTGTTGTTTGTGTGTGCGGATGATTAAGTTGAGCCCCGCTGGATTAGTCATCAAGCTAAAAGGGACTGAGGTCCCATCTTGACAACAGCTTGGTCTGAGGCCTATGTCTCCCTCCTACATGGTAAATAAAAGGCTCCTCCACGATGCCATGCAATCTCACCGCCGACAGCTAATGACTCACTGCAGCTGAGTACTACTGCGTCTGTGGCGAGCCGCTGCAGGATTTCTAGCCAGGGGATTAGGATTGCCACTGATGGAGAAGCCTTCATAATTCTAAAGAGATTATACAAGAGAATCACTACAATCATCACTTGTGAAAAGTGTGCAGGGTTTTTTCTTAGCGTCACTGGAGTTTACTTTTAGAGTAAATACAGTGGTGGGAAAACTTCTGAAAATGATCAACTTTATTTAAGTGGCACTTTTCTTAAGGGCTTCACAAGAGGATAAAACATCATTACAATAAATAAAATGAAATACACATTAAAATAAAAAAGGTTAGGGTACGTCATAATAAAATCTAGTACACCGATACAACAGCAACAACCTAGACACACTACACGAAGAGGTCACCAGATAAAAAGTAGCCAGCAGTCATGTAATGGTCATATAGAGTATGAGGAAAGATGACTAATGCTGCAGCTGTCATTCAACATATCAAGAGCAGCCTTTGTGTTTACACTGATGTCACATACACACGGTACAATAACAACAAGATAGTCAACAGGCAATTTAGATTTAAAGTATGTCACGGAGAGTTTGTAATACATGTCACCGTACATGCACAGTAGCTTTGACTATAATGTACGGATCACGTGGTCATTTTAAAATGATTTAGACGCCACGTAGAATATTGTGAATATTGTAAATTATTCTCTAAGAGAAAACTAAACCGACATACTTTCTGGCATTTGTCTCATTGTGAGATAATTAAAACATGATGATGCACACGCTTGTTGTGACTGTCATGATTTTTCCGACACTGACTCGGGGAAAATAACAGAACTTGAAAAGCAACAGAATATGTCTCCTGCTGTTCTGTTTTCTTTCATCTTAATAATGACTTCTTAAGTATCTGCTTGAGATAACTTCCATTAATGCCAATTTCATTTTCCTTGTTAACTCCACCTCCAGGACGACTTGTGTTCGTCTGTTTTGTTTCTCACCTTGGTAGAAGCCGTCATCGTCCATGTTTCCATACACGTACAGATACTTTCCAGCCACAAGGGGGAGCTCTGCTTCGGGATGCTCGTTTGGTCCATCATAAGGATTATAACTGAAAGGAAAAATAAAATTAAAAAATTGTAAATGAGCCGTTAATAAAACGATAAAGGGCAATAACATCAACAGACTCATGAGGTCAGTCTTATTCACCTGTAGCGGGCAGTGCAAAGGCGGACCTGGCCTGTGTAGCGAGGCTTGGACCTGGGTGATGGGGTGGCCTCATCCTCCATCTACAGAGTGAGAAAAGAATCAAAGATATTGATAGCTAATATTTAACTAATATCAATTATTAATACCAACATTAAGTCTGAATACATGAGAAGAGAGAAAACCAAGTCATAAATGTGATGACGCCATAAATGTATTAATGTCACTCAGAACCACCTCTGATGGGGTCAGCTGTCGAGGGCTGCTGGGACGGTCCGTCGTCACGGTGCTAGATTTGATAGCCCGCAGTTCTGGTCGTTCTTTGTCTCCAGTCTCCGTTGTGCAGGATAAGAACTGGGAGATCAGTAGCGGTGTGTGTGTCGCGTTCTCATCGCCTGGAAGACATCGATTTCCATAGCAAATAAAGAGAAAGTGTCATTCCTTCTGCACCCATTTGCTGCTCATTGCACAGCTATTGATCTCCTGTTGAAATGAGTGTCCAGCAAATACTCTACGTGGCAAGGCCTCTTCTATCCCCATTAACACATCTGCAATGCATTTGTCCTTAAATACCACTGACGTCCTCATGGGAAAACACACACACAAAAAATAAAGGAGATAGAATATTGAAAATTGCAGTGTAAGAGGGCAAATGGCTGAATTCCTTGAGGAAATTGAGTCAACAACATGGATCCACTGCATCTCTGGGCTCTTGTGGTTTGCGAGTGAGTAATATTATGCATTAGCACAAAAGCATCAGCGAGTTTTGAGTGAAAGGAAAGATAAAACAGGATTTCCAGCACCTCAAAGACCTGTAGTCTGCGGCAGACTGTATAAATCTACATTGCTGATATGGCCGTATCTGCTGCCTCTGCAGGTTACACCAGGTGTCGTGAGAATACTAATGTGTTAAACCACATTCGTGTCATACATCAGGCCTGTGATCAATTAGGGTAGATATTGATCATGAATAAGCACTATCGCCATTAATGGTGTCCACGTCTGGTCAGGACTAAGCTTATCCAGCGGTTACGTACGTGAGCTGTCGGGGATTAGACTCATTTCATTCTGATCACAAAGACTTTTAGTTGATGTTTTTATCCAGTTTGTCTACAGTGTATATTTTGAAGAATGAGTGGACCCCACTCAGAATGAACCATTAGTACCAGGTTATATATATCGGTAGCATTAACTTCCACTGAGTATAGATACGAATCATTATTAGACCATAATAATCATTGATGAATGTTATTAAAACAAAGTAAAAAATGAAACATATTTTTAAGATTACTAGCTGGTGGGACTACTGAACACCAAATATCAACTGGAAATTGTTACGGCTACACCCCAACCCCTCAAAGATAAGTGGTATAGATAGTGTATGGATGGGACTACTGACCCACCTGTCTCTGGTTGCTCTTCAAATCCAACGATGACCTGTGGGAGTTTCTTCTGGATCTGGGATGTGGAGGTGGGATTAATCTTAAGGATGTCCACGGTATCTGGTTGCAAACTGAAATTCAGCAGCTCTTTGGACAGCTGGTGGAAGTGCTCACTCTGTGACCTGCATTTCTGCTCCAGGTCATGAACCTTGACCTTTGACGGACAATGACGAGAGTAAAAAGGGGATGTTAATGACCGAGAGGAGGGAGTGGAGGAAAAAAAGGAGTTAAATGTAAGAATTATATTATAAAGTATAATTTGTCTCACAGGGCTTTACAAGGTGCAACATCCTCTGTCCTCAACCCTCAACAAGAGTAAGGAAAGATAAAGGACAAGGAAAATAAAAGGTAGAAACCTCAGAGAGAGAAACATCCTTCTCCCAGGACGGACAGAAGTGCAATAGAAGCCGTGTGTTCTCAGACACTCAAAGTGTGGATTATACTTTATCAAATGTAAGTCCTCTGAAGAACAGGCAGCATTTTATCTGTTCATGCTGATCGAACACAGACCCAATTAGAGAAATATCCCTGAAGACACATTTCCAAGCTTATGGTAGCATATTATATTGAAACCACTGCAGCATATGGACGTGTGGCATCATCTGCTGCAGCTTCTGATATAAAACACAGATAACAAAGCCTGTGCAACACGTAAAGAGGATTATTAAACCTACAATATAGAAATTTAAGACATCATATCACTGATGCATCAGAGGAAGATGTATGGGAGTGTGGCGGCTACTGTAGGGACAGAAAAATGTCTTCACACTGGAAACGAGGGGGAGATGAAACTAACCAGGGAATAAAATATATACCTGAAACATTCTGTCCTTATTGTTCTGTTTAGATAAAAAAGAAACAGAAAAAGTAAAGAAATAAGATAAATTAAAAGAAGACATACTCAAAATAAATCCAAACCACAGTAAATGATATCATAATCGATGTAAAGAAGGAAAAAGTAATGCAAAACAATATTTGTTTGTTACATTTATTATTTCATATTTCATATTAGATAAATATTTTTTTTACTTGCACCAAATGACCAAAGAATGGGGAAGTTTGTTTGACCTTTCACAAAGTGGAGCCGTTTTTAATCCTAGTGTGTGTTTACCCATTACCCAGAAAGTAGCCTGTGATATAAATACTGTAAATTGAGTCAATTGTTTAGTTCTACGACAAATAACTCATTTATAGTGGAGTATTCATTTCACAGACCAAACTCAGGCAGCTTCCTCGGTAAAATCGTATTCCAGTGCTTAAGTTGGATAATAACGTGACCTCCCTTTGAACCACACTCAAAAGAGTCTGCACACTATTGTCATGACAAAAGGATTTAGAGTGAAATGAGAAAATAATTTGAAGTAGATGAACCAGTGACAAGCATCTTAAAGTCTGTGATGAAACACAGCAGGTCAGTGACTTTGATCGTAGGGAAATTTATAAATTAATTCAAGGTCGGCCTGGAAGCAGGATTTATTGGACGTTTGAGTCTGATAAAGTTAAACAACACAGAAATCCTAGAGGAAAACTGCATATTTAAACATGCTGATATAAAACTGAAACTTCTGTTATGTAATTTAATTTGCTTCACCTTCAAACTAAAATTAGATCCTCAAGGCATTGGTGTTGACAGGTTATTTTTTCCAAGATGTAGCTGGCTCAACAAAAAAGGGGTGGGGTGGAGTATTCAATTACATCTAATTTAAATGAAGCCACACAACCTGTTTCAGGGCGAGAGGCATGAGCGAGCATTCAACAATGTTTATGTCCTTTAGTATTAAATTTATTCTGAATAAGACATCAGAAATCAGAAAATGCTGTTTAGATGGCATGTGACCTAAATGAGACCCCCCCCCCATACCTCAGATTCTTCCCTGAACCTAACCAATCATGCTTCTTACCTAAACCAAACCCAATTAGCCTAATCCTTTGCCCATCTATAAAAAAAAGGTCATGGTCTTGAAGCCTCATCTCATCTCTTGACAGTTTTATTGCACATGTTAGGGCTGCACAACTCAAACTGTTATTATTCTTATTAGTTGTCAAATTATTTACTCTGTTCAATACTTATGACCAAATACTTAGAGAGCTTAGCCTCACAGCTGCTAGTATGACAAGTGTAATATACAAGCTGACTTTTGGTAGATTAGTTTCGTCTGGAAGTGTTTGTCATTTTCCTCATGTAGCTAAAGATGTACATGTGCAGCTAGCTACATAACATTATGCCATATTTGTTTCCTTGTTAACGTCCAGTATTTGACATCAGGCTAATACTGTTTTCTTAAATCTGTTCAAAAATAAAGAGACAAACATTATTTATAAAGTGTGACAGTGATCTGTGTTTGTTGATGTGACTGTACCTCTAACAGGTGAACTGCTTCCTCATGCTCTTGGTCAGCTTGCACCCAAGCCTGCAGGGAACACACAGAAACACACAGTGACAGCTGACACTGTGATCACGGTGCACAAGATAGAACAGGCAGCACACAGCTGACACACTGTCAACACGGGACTCTGGTGGAGGCTCACTGGTTGATCAAAGCAGCGGCTCCCACTCCTAATGGCACAGCGCTGATTAACACCAGCAAATTAAGTTTATGGTATGTTAGTGTAAGAGTAGGATCTCGTGAAAATAAGTAAAAGAACAATCTAAAACATTTAAAACATCCCTTAGGCTCTTTATGGGCTCTTTCATATCTTGTTTTCAGATTATTATTCATCAACACAAAGACGAAGTGATCCTCTGAGTGATCTAGTCCAGTAAGTATTATCAGGATATTTACATGCCATTAAAATAATTAGAATTTGCAAACATTTATGTTTTCATAGATTTAAAGCATTTACTAGTATAACTAATTTAACAATGAAAAACAATAGGTTTAAACATGTCTCAGTGATTCATCCTCATGATGATCGAGTTTACGTAAGATGTGAGGGAGTAAAAATGTACAAACTCCTAATCTTAACAATCCAGTACAAGCGCTCAGTGAATTCTATCAATCTGGGCCAGACTTGCTATAAAGGCAAATAATTTAACATCCCCAGTGTTTGAAGAGCTTCAAAAAAAGTATCAAAAGCACTTGAAACTTAAAATATCACAAGGGAGACTTGGACTTTGTTTGACTACTTTCTAAGCAAAGGAAAAGAAACAACATATATCCCAGTTTTTAAAAAAGTACCACAGAGAATACAACACTGAGAAGAAAGTAATGTCTGCTCACTGAAAGATGCTCCTAACAACTAGAAAAGCAGCGTTTTTATCAAAGAGCAGCTGAAGCTGCAGTTCTGACAAAATCTGCAGATTTTTGGACAGGTTTCTGAGGTCCTCATATTTCCTGATACAGAAGCAGTGATTCAGTGACAGTGATGCAGCACAAACCAGCTCCTGACACATCACTAACTGAACAAGGAGCTATAGCAGCCACTGCTCTTATCAGAAAAGTAATGACCCTGGAGCATTATGTCAAACTTATGAATAATTAAGCTCTGAATATCCACTTCTCTATCTTTGCATTTATTCATAAAAGCCATACCGTTTGCAGTTGATTGATCTCCTTCTGCTTGGTGTGAAGGGCCACCAAGGCTCGCTCATGCTCTATCTGCAGCTGCTGCTTCAGCTCGACAGCCTCGTGCATATGCTGAGAAGAAACACAGAGGAACAAGATGTGGTTATGATGATTCTTGACAGTTTCCCGAAAGAATTACCCAACCACAGTCTTTCTCCATTGAGGGTGACGGATACAATACAGCGAGACCTTGAAAGTCATGACAATTATCAGAATATTGCTGTTGCTGTCGCAGGCACTGAGAGGAAGATGTGTTCTGCAGACACTGAACTCTGTCTACTTGAAAATCCACTAGCTGCAGGTAATTCTGCACTAAGATCTGATAAAAATGCACATAGTTTGACAATTAGGATTGTCACAATACGTCGAAAGCAATAATGTGGTTGCATCAGCTTTCCATCCATCCATTATCTATACCACTTATCCTATGAGGGTCGCAGTGAAAGCTAAAGCCAATCCCAAGAGGCGGGATACATCCTGGAAAGTTTGAGACAACATACAGAGACAAGACAAGTCAAGTATTTAATGTGATTACTACAAACACGACTACTCAGTTATCGTCACTACATCAATACATGAGTTGTCAAGGGTCAGACGTCTATAAATGTGGCCTTTATTTAGATTTAAAATACGCACCTGTAAAGTTTCAGTTAAAATATATAGAGAACAGGATGGTCAGAAATATAATTTGGTTGCTTTATTCTTATCTGGAATAAAAAAACTAAACTAAAGGATTCAACAAAGTCTTGGAAATTAAAGCATGCAATAGAAGTAAACGTTGACCTTATGAATTTGTCATGTGTCTGCGTGTTAACGATCAATCTACAGCCAGCAGCATATTTCCTGAAATGCTGAACAATTACTTAAAAAAGTTCTCAATTTATCAAGTTTTGACTTGAGTATCAAGATTTTGAGACAATGTTCCTCCATCACATCCAACGTACTGTATACTCCAAACTGACTCAGACAAAGCTGTCACACGCTGATCCCAAATCTACCCTCTCTGAAATTATCCGAGTCATGACTATACAGTATCTTTCCACTAAGTCACGACCAGCTGCCACATCTTGCAGAAACAGAGTTAAGGCACAAGATGTTTCTGCAGGCTTAAGAAGAAAGGACAGCTTAGAAAGCTCTGACATTCATCATTTTCTCTCTGTATTCCCTCTCCCTTCAAAAAAAAAAAAAAAAGAAAAAGAAAAGCCTCTTTACCTCCCGGAGTGGCTTCGAGGTGTCCTGAGAAGGCAGCCACTGCTTTGCATAATCGGAGAGAAGCTCTAAGCTGCGGAGGACTGGACTGGCTGAGAGGCTGTCACTGGAGCTTTAGTGAAAACTATTTTTTTTAACCCTTGATACATCTGGGGCTTGATGAAGTCACCTACATTTTCAGGAAACACCCAGTGAGGTCATGTTAGAACAGAAACTGACCAGATCAGCTCCATGAGAGCAGCTGGATTTCTGAGGGAGAGGGTAGAGCACGTACATCAATCCAAGGCCCAACAGTCGCCTTAAATCCAAACAAGCTGCACCAAATTTCACACCCTCATAGATAAGTTTATTAAATAAACTTATTTTATCAAGATCCACGATTGATTCACTGGTTAAACTGTAAAAATGTTGAAAAAAATCTTCTCTCGCGACGTGCACTGTGATCCAGATCTGATCCACACCAAAATTGAATAGGTTCTTCCTTGACCCACGACATTCACTTCCAAGTTTTGAGGAAATCTCTTAGAAATCGCTTGGAAACAAATAAACGGGTGAAAACATGAGCTCGTTGGTGGAGGTACACATCTGAGGTGTTTCTTAGTGCAATTCTCAAAGCTGACTGAGAAGAAAAACCTTGCGGACCTGTTGATGGCAGGAAATCCAGATGTGTCTATGAATGAGAGGGATCTCAGCTGGGTAACCACGACAAACAAACCTGTATCTCTGATCTACACTGCTGTGCTTCGGAACCAAAACCATTTGGAAGATAAGACTGAGGTCTGCTAGAATAGTTTTCAGCTCTTTATAAACAATAACAGCAATAACAACTACGGCAAAGCAATTTAAAACATACAATTCAACATCGTCTGCACAGCTTTAGGAGATGTCTAGAGTGGAGTAAGCATGACTCACACAATGGCCACAGTTGGAAGAATAAGAACCAGAATAAAGAAAGTATATTTTGCCACAGGCCACTAAATTTAGCAGCTGCTAATATTTGTGTTTGTCTTGTGTCTTGACCTCCTGCTATGATAGAAAGGCCCAGAAAGATGCATGTCTTAATTCTGTAATGTTTCTCTTGATACCAGATGATATAAGTTTCAACCCAAGTTTAGTCTTGGATGAGGAACCTACAGTAAATAAATCAAATCTGTCTTTTTCATGTTGTGCTTCTTCCATCTCTGCTTTCTCTGCCCACGTTGCCCTGTGTAATTTTCTCTAAATAGTCTCTTTGTCTTCATAATCAATACACAATGAGGACAAGACAAACCTCTCTTTGCTGTATTAAGGAGCAGGTCAGTTTTTCTCAGATGGGAACATTTCTCTCTCAAACATCCTGACAAACAGACAATCAATAGGAGATGCAGGGAGGCGAGGACTTGTAATGAGAGTGGCTCTCGCGGCACGGTGAGACTGTGTCTGATTACTATTGGCAGACCAGAACATGATGAAAAAAGAGGCTCTCCGTCTAACAGATGACACTTCACCTCATGAGTTGCTTCACTTTCCCTCTGAAGTTTTCTTAGTAACCAAAACCACGGGGAGAGAGGAATATTTCCAAAAGACAGAAAGTGGTAAATGGAGCGAGTGAAGCAGAAGCAGTGACGTGAACGAGGAACAAATGTAGAAATGTGGGGAGATACAGCCAATAGTATGTCAGAGATATCGTGGACAAACACTCTGGTGATGACGGGGCATAAAAGAAGGATAGCCTTTAGACTCGGGTCTTTATCTGGTTTTCTCAGCAATTGTCTCAAGATGTGGAAGGAATTCATTAAGATGCATAGTTTAATTCCTGGACTAAATTTAGATTCACTTCCACCTAAATGATCCACGGCTAATTGAATCTTCCTCTTGGATAATTTGTCAGTAAAGAAGAGAAAATGCTTCTTTCAGGTAGATGTGAAAAATAGCAAATTGAGACCATAGAATCCAGAACTTCATGAGTGTAGTTCCCTCTGGAGTATGACTGTCCACAAAAATTAACTTAAGATAGTAAAATGACCTACTGTCGTGTTGCTTCTAAAAGGTGTAGGATGCAAGAATTTAATTATAAATGCGCAGAAAAAAAAGTTGTCTGACCTTTAGAACCTGTTCCAGGTTCTCCACTTTGCCTTGGAGTTGGCTCCTCTGCTGCTGGGCCACGTCTCTCTCCTGGCTCACTACAGCAAAGGTCTGTCTCAGCTGGTCATAGTCTGATCGCACCTGCATGGACACAAAGAGTCCAGGTGCAATGGGGGGAGGGACAATAAAGACAAAAAGAGCAAGAGGACATTAAGTGGACTGTTACCATGGATATAAAAAGACTGGCAAACAAAGGAGTACAACCAAATGGAGGAATATATGAAGGACATATTTTCTCTTTGTTTAACTTAGAGGTTATGTATAAAAGATTGTAAATATCAATATAGCAGCCAAAAACTCTCAGTCCTGCCCACATTCATAAAGCGGGATGTCTCCAGCTGCAGCCATGTAAACATGACACCTGAAGGAACATGGTCATTTTCACACCTTTTCCGCACCGTGCACACAAACACAGTAAACACACCTGTCCACCACACCGAACTAGCTGCTAGCTGCCATGCTGGTTCACTGAGAGTGTGCTGGTGGATGAAAGAAGAAGCGCAGCCCTGAATTCATTTTAAAACCGACCGACACTTTTCACACAGACGACAGAAGCGCCCCACTTTCACTGGGCTTTGCAATACCTATAGAACACCTTGAGAGGCCCAGAGGTGTGGTATGAGGCAAAGCTTTTGTTTGGGTCTAGTATGCTGGTGATAGTGCAACATCTAATGAGAATCGTGTAGTTAAGCTTTAAAGAGTTTAAACCCATTGTTCTGTTGTTTTATCCTAAAAGAAGAAAAAGGCATGCAGTTTTTATGAGATTTGTTCTCGCAGCAGACCTACTTTTTACATTTATGAATAGAGGATGCCTTTTTTCTTCTGCTGGAGGGTTGATTGGGAGTTCACACTCTGAAGAGAAATTAATCAGCACATTTCCATTTAGCCCTGATGAGTCGGAGCTGCTGACTTGAGCATTCTGCATCTCGTTTCTTCATCAGTCACAGGCCTCGGGCTAAGCCGGTTCCTCTAAAGGTGGCCTCATAGGACTGAGCAGAGCCATCCCTCAGCCATCACCTCATTAATTAACAAAACAGATGAGAGCACAATAGATAAGCTTAAAGTGCACAAATGTAGACGGCTGTAGAGGAAATGAGTTCATTCATATTGAGGAATGTATGATTGGAGCTGGAGTCAGAAGCTCTAGTAAAATCTGAACTATATCACTTATTTGTTTCAAGCAGACAATAAAAGCAGCAATATAGTTGATTTATTTAGTGCTTTATATTCAAGGTGTACATAGTGCATTAAATTAGATGAGAATATCCTGCAGGCAGAAAAGAGAGAAATCCAAAAATTAAAAGCCGTGTTCTCATAATAAAACCATGTGTTAGTATTTCAGGTCTCGCCTAAAGGTAAATGTTATTCATTTAACAGTTGTATTCCATCAATAAAAGGGTGTTTCTAATATTCCTTTCAAAATAAACACAAGCCCTCCAATGAATGGTATTTTTAAAGGTTCAGAATGTTCATTATCTTCACAAAACTACACTTATATCCATAAATTCCCTTTAACTCAAACAAAGATCCCCAAAGCAAGTGCAATTTATTTTCAGTGATTACATTCTGTAATTATGGCTCCACCTCCTTTCTCAGTCTCGGTTAACATCTTCTTCTTCATTCCCTCATTTGCTTTATATCTGGCAGGACTGTAAACACTTTTGTCCCACTTAGATTCCACCCCTGTGCCCCCTCATCAGTGCACAGATGACATCTTTTTGTGTGGCACGGTAGAGACAGAGCTCCGAGCTGAGTCCCTGGACATGTGTCAAACCTGCCCCCTCTGTGAAAGTCACTATTAGTGCCAGAGTAGCTAATCGTCTACCATCACAGACGGGCGATTACTGTCTCTCTGTCTGAGTCAGCGTGCATGTTTACGTATGAATGTTTAGACTTGTGAGACTCAGAATGACTGGGCCAGTACAGTAATAAGAACAATGAGGGGTTTCTTTCAGACACTCATTTAATATCATACTAAACTAGAAGGCTGTTCTGAGAGCACCTCCACCAAGGCTAATGCCCCATCGCAATATATCAAACCAGTGTTGCGCTATTGTCCATAATGTTGTTACCATCCATGCAGATAGTCAAACCGAGTAGTTTCGACTTTAGTTTCGTGAACAGTTAAGTGGCAAGCAATGTAGTTCTTTCTCAATCGCTCTTCAGTCTGTGTACCTCTCACTCTGGAATCTGTTGCAGCATCGTTAATGCACAACTGCTGCTGTCATAGATTGAATTAGATAACAAGATAACAACATGCAAGAGATTATGATGATGACAACACAGCAACACCACTCATAGACGGCTGGTTGACCACTAATCATTTGCTCTGTGTGTGTCCTTGCGATAATACATGTTTTAGGCATGTGTGAGCATCTTACCTGTTCATACTTAGATGCCTGCAGGTGGTTGTTGATAAGCTCAAGGTTCAAACGATTTTTCTCCTGCAAGGCAGCATGGAGCTTTGCTTTCTGCACGAAATGAGGGAGAAACAAAACTTTAGCGTGTTGCTACTTTACAATAAATTTACTTTTTCAACTGCAACGCATTTTATGCCTGAGTGCATCCTGTATCCACGTCACACAGTGCAACTCCATCTCCAAGAAGATACGCAACAGATGAAAGACTCCTCCCTCTGTCTGCATGCATGTATATGTATGTAACTATCCATTTGGTATGTGGCATTAGGAATGAAGGGGGAGAGGCTTAAAAAAGAGGGGAGCACAGAAAGAAAGTAATGAGGAAAGAGTGAGATAGATTGGAGAGGGGAACAGGAAGTGGTTTGAGGGAGACGTAGAAACAAAAAGAAACAAACTGAGGAGAGACGAGAAAACCAGTACATTAAATCAGTAAATCCCACAAGCTGAAGATGAGATTAAGTTGCATGGCAAGTAAAAGGGTTTTAAAGGTTTGTTCGGCTCCTGTCTGAACTCTCCACTGCCCAGATTCACATTCAGAAGTTGTCATGCCGCTGGTGCTGCAGGTACTCAAGCATTACATAATTACGCCAGACTCGAACTAGGGCAATGTTCTCCTCCTATCGCAGCTCCGAGCATTCAGGAGTGGTTTCACTGTGAGTGGTCATATCCTTGCTCATAATACCACTTTATGCTGGTGCACTGAATGTTGATTGTCATTTTCAGCATCCCGGCCAGAATATGTGGGGGATAAGTAATTTATAAGAGCCTTTTCTCTATTTGTCTTTAAACAATTAGAAATACGATTATTGGTTTTATTTCTGTGAAAAGTCCAGAAGGATAAGATGGTGGCTGGGCTTCTGTTCAAATGAGTAGATTGACAGTCTCCAGAAAAGAATTTAATTCAATTACCTTCTGAATATGTGAATATTTTAAAGACGAAAATCTGAAAATATAGAATTGTGTTGGATTTAACAGTAATACACCAGGCGTTCATGCAATCATCTCTTCAAGCTCTGCACGACAGTTTCAGTACAAGAAAATATGGAGCAACTCAGAGCTTTATGATCAAAATTTATCAGCCTAAACTGAAGTAAACCCAGTAAGAGGAGGAGGGGAGAGAAAAACTGAAAGTGAAGGACCAGCAAGGTCCATCCATCTCTTTATGTGTGGGCAGAGAGACAGTTCGGACTGTCAGAGGAAGACACAATCAAACAGGACACAGATAGAGAACAGACAAGGACAGGAAGACACAAAGACTGGTGAGTGAGTTCACTGGCTGCTCTTATTGTGTAACGCTGTCGCCACATCACATTCCTGCACGCCACAGAGCAGTCAGAGCACAGAGCCACACCTAACTAGAGTAGCAGCCAGAAACGAGCTTGTACTTCTTGCTTTGACAGTTAATTATGAAGACATGCCACATCATGGGGTGTCAGCTGCAGTCGTTCTCTGCGCCGACACCCCAGGACATGGCCGTGTAGTTTCCACCAAAAGGAAGCAGGGTAAGGGGGGGGGGGCTGAAAAGAAGCGAGGGTTGTGATGAAATTTTCAGGGAGTGAGGGAAAAGGTTAAGAGTTTGTTTGAGGTTTGAAGAGAACGATAACAAAAGAAAACAAAGAATCACAAGAAGGGGGCAAAAAAGTGACCTTTCCAAGGATCTTTTTATTTATTTATTTTTTTAAATGGGCCTCAGGAATGATGTCTGTGTTTTCCACGTCCTCCCACTTGCAGTGAGTCACATATTCACAGCTCTGCTTAACACTCCGTAACATCGTGTAAACATAATGCTACACTGCAAAGCCAAGGGACACACACATTTTTGTGCCAATTTAAACCTTCAATATGCACAAATAAGCAGAAAACAAACAATGTCTTTCTTCCTTCCTTTTCCGTCTTGTCTTCTGTCTCTATCCATCTCTGTCTCCCACACACATTCCCTCCCATTAACCACCATGATTTCCATTCTCTCCACAAACCCTCTACTTTAGCTGCTGGCCTTAAATCTGCTCTGCTCACTGTGGCCAGCATCTTACTGAGGAAGACCCACAATGTGCGGTGCATCGACAAAGACTTCAGTTCAGCTCCTCTGGTTATTATAGTGTCTGCATCAGAAATAATTGTTCCTTCTCCCAGGGAGGTTATGTTTTTGTTAGCGGCATAACGAAAAAGCTACGCAACCAATTCTCATGACATTTTGAGTAAAGAGTGAACCCATTACATTTTGTTGCAAATCCAAATAAAAATCTTTAGTGAATTAAATGTAGTTGAGTGGACCTTGGTGGAGGTATACGCTGTACTGAGAGCTGTTCTAGGTTTGTTGTGTTGTAATTTCTGTTTGAATAGCCTCCGTCTTCTGTGAGAGAGAAAACTATACTGTATATACAAAAAGCATATATATATTTTTGGAGCAAATATTCCATGATTTGTTTCAGACCAAGATCACACTCTAATCAGGTCGTGTTGAAATCATCATCACACAACGCTTTCAGTTTGATGCAACATCAAACTGTGAGTACCGCTCTTGATACAGTCACTGGACGGACCCCAGTTGCAGCATAAATAGCACATTTATGACGTAAGATGATTAGATTTAGGCAGTGCCTCTGCTTATTGTTATGCTTCTCTGCATCAGCACATCTGCAGAAATCTGCAGCATCCTGTTGTTCTGTGCTTTGTTTCTGATCCAAACAGACAAAGAAATCACTTTAGTGAAGTCTACAGATATTTCCCTTATTGGTTTCTGATCATCTGATGATGACGTGATCCATTTAGATTAAATATGAATGCAAAGAATCTTAACTCTTCACAGAGTATAAACAGCTTCGTTTAATCAAACAGAAATTTACTTCTGCATTCACAGCTGTATTTGGCAGTAAACTTGGAACATGCTGGATTTTACAGCGATGAAGGCTTTAAATTTATTTAAGAAAATGTTTATGCTTTCAAATTGTGGATATGCTGCTTTAGAATAAATCAGCCGTTAATGGGAATTAATTGTAACATTTGAAAGCTGCTGCTTGTAAGCCAACATAAAATTATACAGACAGGATCTTGGATTTGCTTAATTTAGAAATAAATGTTTTGGATCATACTGGTGATGCTAAACTATGGATAAATAACTACGAATAAGCAGCTGGCTGCGGCCGTTATAATGGAGAACACATGAAGGATGAACTCATGGGCTCAGAGATTTCTATAGTGGCTTCTGCTGACTGGGACTGTTATGGGTGGAGGACTGTGACTGTTCGACCTAAACTCTCAGAAGGATCGTCATTAATCAGATGTCACGGTGGAAACATTTCATTCCACTTACTGCGGCTGTGGGAAGCAGGACACTGACAACATGTGATGTCTTCATAGCAACCTGAAGTGAAAGTTAAACTGGAGTTCATTGCCAGTGTTTGTGAGAAGAGATTTTACCTGACGCATGTTTTCATTCTACAAAAACCACATTCTCACCCACAGATGACGCTTAAGCTCTCGATTCTCCAAGTTATTTCAAGCGCAGCTCAGATTATCTGTTTAAACTTATCCTCAAACAAAAGACGTCTTGAAAAGTGACATTACAAACACATTACTCCTTCCACTACTTTGCACTAAACTTTGTGCTTAGCGGTTTAATAGGGCGACTACAGTTAATGGGTGTCTGTGTGCGCGCGAGTGTGCCTAAAGACTGTGTGTTAAAGATTGCTTTGCACTCATGTGGTTAGGGAACGGATAAATGAGTCCGAGTCGTGACTGACGTCCCACCACTAATAGCTGCTGGAACATCAGCTGTCTGTTCAGCACCACCTAACGTCTGCAGGAGTCAGGACCATGGACAGCTCCTCCACTGAGCAGATCAGGATTGACGCTGTGAAAACTGGACTCAGTCTTCACAGTCTATGATTACACTTAACAAACAGCACTCGTGTCTGTTTTTTAACATATAAGTATATTTATGGACATTCAATAACGGCGGGGAGTAGAAATCCATCCATTATCTATGCCGCTTATACTTTGATGGTCGTCGGGAGAGCTTGAGCCAACTGTGGTACACGCTGGACAGGTCGCCTGCAAATCACAGGGTCAACATACAGAGACAAACAACCATTCACTCACAAATACATGGTCGATTTAGAGTCTCCAATTGACCTAATCTCCAGCCTGCATGTCTTTTTCCTGTATACCCGGAGAAAACAATGTAAACACACGGGAAGGGAGTGTTGCTTCTCCCAAAATAATATTAGCTGACAGTGGATTGCAGCTGTAGTGCCACAGGGCTGAAGTATCACATATCACTAAAGTATATTCTCACAGTGAAGAATTGCCGACAGAAAGCACATTTCAAGACTATATCGACGTAAAAAAGAGCCAATGACTGAACAGAGGGGGCGGTATCAACTGTTTGGACCTGGTTAAGTATAAAATATTGCAAATGGATGAAAACAAATCACCAGTTTAAATATTTTTGTTCAATTACAAACCAATTAACAATATACTGCAGTGAGTTCACATTTGCAAGGTTGTTATGAAACTTAAAGGCGACTGTACACTGCTACTTAAGGGATTGGTTGTGACAATGTGGGGGTGCATTAGGAAGATTTATTGTGTAGCATTAGCAAGGTCTTCACTGCAGCATAAAAGATGATGTACAACACAGAGACACACAGTTTGTCCTCTGAAGGGCTGGGTAGGTGTTTGCCTGTTCACAGCAGAACGTGCGACTTCAATCCCACATGATCGGCCAAACATCAGCTTTCTTGGCAGACGGTCGCGATTCTCAAGAGCATTTTGAGATCACTTGTTTGTAATGCTGTTAATACTGTGCATTAGCTCTGGTTTACAACATTGGCATGACACCTGAACAGATGTTTTTTAAAAGCCACACAGCACACCAACTCTCTTTGACCTTTACGTCGCGTATTGTTCATGTGGAGCATTTAGAAAATCTAACCTTCAGATTTGACCAGCAACCGTTCTCGTCCTTTCTTTGTGCTCTTTGTGAAGAGCAGTTCGTGGTAAATGTTACCATAATGTCATCGATAGATTATTCATCAGCTCGCGTTTAA